CCAGTGTTACTACAGGAGGAAACCTAAACTAAACTAATTTTATTTATGCTGGATAGCTCTATCAGTTCTAAACTGTTCTCCCTAGAGGTCCAGTAAGGATCATCTCTTATTGATCCAGTGTTACTACAGGAGGAAACCTAAACTAAACTAATTTTATTTATGCTGGATAGCTCTATCAGTTCTAAACTGTTCTCCCTAGAGGTCCAGTAAGGATCATCTCTTATTGATCCAGTGTTACTACAGGAGGAAACCTAAACTAACTTTATTTATACTGGATAGCTCTATCAGTTCTAAACTGTTTCTTCCTAGCTAAGGTAATAGATCACACTGACAGTGTTAAACCAAACAAAATTATCACCAGAAGTCAGATTGAAAAGGCACACATATTACTTCGCATTTAATTGATGCTAGTGGAATTTAAAGGATACTAAAATAAAAATGGAATAGAAATCTTTTGTGTGAATTATCAACATACCAGGCTGACGGCTAAATCTAGCTCCAACTTGGTTCATTTTTTCATTTCATTATTTCCAAGCTTATCTACATTGGAATACAAACATACACTCACGTTAATACATGGCAAATAAACAGACTGACCTATCATACACGTACAGGAATCGCGGTAGGGTCGCAGGTTCAATTCCTGCCAGAGAGCCTGGAGTTATGGGAACTAATATTTGGATGGGACAGGGTATAATCAGGCCTGCAAGTAATTGTTTTACTTGGAAGGAAAAATGTCTGGCCAAGCCAACCCTTTTTCCAATTTTTCTCAGACAATGGACAAAGTAAAATGTTTCATATTTTGTTTTGAAAATTAGCATGATGTATTTTTATATATCTGTCTACCTGTCGTATTGCATTAATTGAATAATTGATCAGTAAATTATGGTTTACAGGGTTCGTACGCCTTCTCCCATTTAAAATTTCATCACTTTTCCATGACTGCCCATGACCATTTGTCCATTTCAGCCCTCGAAAACCGTCAAAATTGAGTTTGGCAAAAAAAATGCCGACCTAAATCTGACCTAGGTCGGCACGTCTCGCCATTTTTTTTAAACCGTTTCCATGTCTTTTGAAATTGGAATATAAAGCATGCCTTTTTACGCGGAAACGTGAACTGCTGTTAAGCTCCAGACAAACCGGACGCGACTCGACAACGTGAAGCGATTTTTCAGTTTTTGAAAGTTAATAAAACAGCCAGAGCGCAAATTTTAAAGGTGATCTACAGTCTGTATGTAAACAAAGCCTTTGTTTACATTTTTGTGTCCAAAATATTGAGCTTTATTCGACAACTATTTATATCTTCAAGCTTCTAGAGTATAATAAATGATCAAGAAACAACAATCAGGCTTTTCAAGAACCCGAAACATAGTTAAACTGTTTGTATAATAAAAAGTGGGCTCCTTTGTGCACATGCGCAGATCGGACTGTAGAGCACCTTTAAAAGACATCACTAGTCTAAGACCAAATAACTCAAAATGTTATAGCGCTTCTAAATATTTGTAAAATTTAAACAAGGATCAAAATCGACAAATCGTCTCGCGTTGCCGGTACGGCTTTTCTTTTGGAGTCTAACCTAAATTATATATAGAGTACCCACCAATTTTTAAACCTTGCACCAAAGTGTGTTTAGTTAATTGAACTACGAATCGAATTCTATAATCGCTAAATTTTTAACTTAACACCAAAAATCTTACTTTGGCTGAATTAAGGTCGGTTCATACTTGATAGGTCGGCATTTAGGTCGGCATTGCCAAATGCCAACCTCGTTTTCGAGGGCTGATGGTTTTCAAAATCCATGATCTGGAAGTCTGGAATTTCTGAAATTCGTTAATATTTTAACGATAACAGATATAATAAGAGACAAAATTCACTTCGCTCTCGCAAAATCTGTTATATAACAGCAATTCATTGTTATGACTGGTAAATTGAAATAGGTAAAATACACTAATTTTCCAGGATTTCCAGGCCTGGATTTTGGAATATTGAAATTCCATGACTTTCCAGGTTTTCCAGGACCCGTACCAACCCTGGGTTTAGGTTGGTTCAGGTTATACATATTGGTACCAGGCTTTTGGCCAGAATGGCGTCCAGGCGTCCTGAGACGCCCCTGGGACAAAACATGGGCGCCTTTGGACGCCCAAATTCTGGGGAAAAAGGGAAATTATTTTCAATTATTTCCCTAAGTATATTAATATAGCTGAAACGAAATAGCTTCAGTTCTCATTATTATTATACATTTGACATTTTGATCAATTTGATGGGGTACTTGGCTGAATGAAAATGTCGTAGTTAAGTAAAGAAGCATAGCAGCAAAAACTCAGTACTCACAAAGGCAAGTGTGTTTGAAAAATTTCGAACGAGCTTGGAACAGATACTGACATGAAGTAACATAAACTTCAAAGGTTTTCCAGAGGAATGTTTTCTCGATCCCCCCCATTACCCATGTAGATGTATCGCTGTACCAAAATTGGACTCTTTAGACCCTGGCTAAAAAAGCCTGATCGGTACAGGTTATTATATTGCTAATCCTAGTTGGTTTCTATTGCCAATAAAAAATGTGTTAAATAAACAATTTTTGAGATTGGAAATTTGACTAGCATCGATTGGACAAAATGTAAAATTTGGGCACTAATTTGAAGGCCTGATAATGCTTATGGTACCAGTAACCAGTATCCAGAAATGGAATACCAGACTCTCAGGGCAATACTAAACTTTGCATTTTGGTATCCCAGTTGGATACAGGGAAAAAAATATACATTTCAGACCCTGAATTCTTCTCTTCAACAGTCAACCTCGTACCAGGGCTAGCCGCGAAT